GCATTTACTTAATTAGAAAAATTAGAAAAAGATGAACAGGTTAGCAGCAATTTTTTGGAAAATTTTATAGGAAAATTTGTAGGAATGATATTTTTTGGGGAAGTTAGTTTAATATTAAAAATTAAGTATTTGGTTTAAGCAAAAACATAATCTTACTGAAAGAGTATTTGCTGGCTAACTGCGAAGTGTATTGATTTTTTGAAATAAACCAGTTTGTCAGGAAATCGCAAGTTAAGCTTATTCCAAGTTTTACATGATTTTCAAGCTTGAGCACTTTTTACTTACATACAACAACTTTATTATGATAGAGTGTTGAAAATTTAGGTTAGTAATTTTTTAAAAATTTCAAATTTCGTTCCAAGTTCCATATAAATTCCACCTCAGGAACATTTATCTTAATATATATTGCGGCCTTTTAATTATGCGACTGGAAACTTTTTCATAGCTTTGACCAGTGCCGTGCCATCTGGTGGCGGCTTGCTGGCGATCCTGACGCACATTTTTGTTTTCTGAATGATTTGCCGGCCCAGCAGTTCTCCCAATTAAAGCACTTGAAAAAGTTTAGTCATTCTGAAAAGTTCCTGAGGAGTGCTGAACATCACCATCTCACCCTTAACTTTGCCAATTCCGGCGCATATGTGGATTCTTACCAATTTGGTGATATATTTCAAACTTAAAAATTGCAACATTAGCCAATCTGCCCATGGTTCTCGGTGTTACTGGGACGCAGCGGTACTTAAGAAACATCATGTGTGAGATTTTTTCATGAATTACTTAAGTTTATTTTCCAAATAAACCATGATTCTCCTCCTCGTTGATCATCTCGTCGTGAGCCGCTAGTGATTTCGAGCAAATCGATAATAATAATAACGATAATAATGGTAATAGTAATAACAATAATGATAGTAATAATAGGGATAATTATAACAATTATGATAATAATGACAAGAATAATAATAATGGTGATTATAATAATAACAACAGTAACAATAACAATGGTAATAATGGCAATAATAATATTAATAATAGTAATAATGTCGAACTAAGAACAAATCAATATCATGACCGTTTGAACAAGGGCGAAGAAGTTTCTGCCCTTCCTGAGTCAAAACAATCGAATTTTGTCCCCTTTCCAGTTCCTCCAAATTTTACTCTCTACAAAAGGCTTAGGCACTCGGACGTTTTATTCTTTGCAGCACGCTTAGATACTGAATTTTTAATGCATTTCCCCTGTAGCAACCGCTTGCTGGCAAGGCTGTCAGTGGATCCATCCTTTAAGAATTGCCTTAATTCAGGCTGTTTTCGGTCACGACTCCTAACGTATGTCAGTACCATTCTGACATCGGTAAAAGCCCGCATTCTAGATAGCATTAGTATATTCGCTGATTTAAAATGCTTAAAAGTAAACAACAAATTTTTTTCAGGTTACTTATCTCCGAAAATTTTTGAATCTTCAAAAAGCTGTTTGAATACACCTGACTGGTTTCCCACGAGTGTTACTCATATTTTGAGTCAAAAAATTGCCATCAGTGAAGAAAATTTTTTGAGTGTCACTCATTTCGAGTCAAAACACTGCCTCAGTGGGGCAGGAAAATCCCTTCCCTATCCCTCTTTTAACAAAAAAACGAGTTTGCGCTCTGAAAAAAAAAACTGATGGTAATTTTTATGTTGTCTTCTGCAATGATCCTTCCAGTAGCGGCAGTAGTAGTGCTGGTAGTAATAGTGGTGCGAGGTGCACGTCTTTCTCCCTCTCTGACCTCATTTAACCAGGGTCTGGACAATCGACAGCCGCACTGGTGATGTATGAATGATCGGATGCTGCTGAACTTCTCCTTCGTCTTCCTTCTTCAACATCGTCTTCTTGCTGCTCTTACGGATCTATCAATTGGCTGTCTGAAGTGACAGCAATGCCTGCAATATAATTCCCTCCATTCTCCTGTGCTTTTTTTGCTTTCATTACAACAACTTTGCTTTTAGACGTTACCGGGAAGGAGGGGCACAAAAAAGGGAAAAAGGAGTTGCAGGCCGGTTTCGACAAATCACCATCGCCAAATATTAACTACTTTTACATTTCCTTCCTAATTTGAAGTTCTTAAAACTTGCTTTAGAAGCAGACGGCAGGTACTATGATAACTGGAGGAAGGCAGCCCAGAACTGAAGGGCACGATGTAGCTACCTTGGGGTGTCGAATAAAGATATGAAAGATTGTATATAAAAAATGTAATAAAAATATATTGCAAAATAATCGGATGAACAAGTCGTACATATTCCTACTCAGCACTACAACAGAATCTCTAAAATACGGCGGTTCTGGTGCATATTTGTGTAAGCAGTAATATAAAATAAATGTGTAAAAAATTTTATTAAAAACAATTTCTTCTAAGAATTTAGTAAGTACTCTTGTGGCATTACTAAAATGGGATGCCCATCCCGACTGTCCAGAGATTTTGGTATTCGTGATAAATCTTATCCGAGATCTCCCGGAAAACTGATTTGAGATTCACGGTGTTTTCAGCGTGCGATCTCATTTGCACGTGAATTATTGATCTTCCAGAGGAAACTAACTATTTGGAAGTTTCTGTTTCAGAGCAAATGAATAGTATAGTGGCTTATATAGCAACAGTAGGAGCGATTGTATGTTTTGTTTCG